ATGCCTTAATAATTAATAAAACTAGCGTCTGACAACATTTTTGGATTTCTCATTGGATTTGGTCTGAAGTGTGAACGGCCCGACGATAATCCTTTGTTGCCTTCATATAGTAATTAAACAAAATGTGAAGGCAAAATTTAAGCTCACCCGGCGAGGAATCTCAAATCTATGTTACTTTGAAGTGTAAAATAATATATAATAAGTTTGTATAAGACAAGAATCCAAAATCACCCTTTAATGTAAAGAAACTATAAATAATTATTAAATAAAATTCCGTTAATTTTAATGTATGTTCTTATAATAATTGAAATACGTAAAAAAAAAGGTATTTAAATTTTGACTTGTATTCAATTCATATGCTCTAATTATATTGTGATTTAAATTATATAGTCTTGATGATAATTTAGTTATAGTTTGATTTTTTTTTTTTTATAATTTTGTAAAAGAAACTTCATGCATTTGAATATTTAATTATACTGTAAGTGCATTGATTTTATTATAATTTAAATTATATAACTTTTAATTATATTTCAAAATAAATAATAATAATAAATGATTTTATTATATTGAAATGAGCCTGTGGATCAGGTAGGGCCGGACAAGAAATCCAAATTCATCTCCGACCATTTTCACCCAATTCATTAAATTCCAGGTAATTAAAGTCACATGGGACTGCACGGAAATTCCGTGCCTCCACAGTCAAGGGAAAATAAAATCAAAACCAACAATCAAACCTTCAAAGAAAAGATTTTTTTTTTTAAAATTTAAAAAAAATAGAAACTTGAAGAAAAACTTGAATGCATACGCCATAAAACAAACGCAGAGAACGGTCCATGACGACCCATCTTGCTTCCATTGCCAGCAATCACGAACCCCATCTTCTTCTCTTGTTGACTTCACTAAGAATCCCCAGCTTTCTCTGTCCCTTTAAATACGCACACACGCATCCATTTCTCTGAAAGAAAACCGAACTTGGTAGATTCAAGTTGGATATAAATGTGGTTGGTAAATCCCCATCAAGCTTCTCAAATTCTTCCTTCTTGGTGTTTTGTCAATGATAGTACGTGGTCCTGTCCATTACTGTGATTGACATGGGTCCTGTTCATTACTGTAATTGACCTGTTCTAGTCGATCCATAACTGATGCTATATTGACGATATTGACTTATCCTCCGCGAGGTTATGTTCTTTGCTGTTTTCAGTAATTTTGTTTGGGTAGAAATGATGTGTGTTACTGCTTTTGATTGAGTAGAAGCTTCAGAAATGCAAGTTTGGCTACTGGGTACTCTACAGCTAAGGATTCACGGGCACCCATTTACTTTATTTGTTTGATCAAACAATTTCTTTTAAGTTTTTCTGCATGATATTGAAGCCAGTGCTCGATTAGTTCATGGCTGATCTCCCCTCTTTCTTTTCTTTACCCTTTTCAGTGCTTAAAGTAGTTTCAGGGTCTTGATTCTGAGCTTGTGATAGACATGATAGACCATGGTATTCTTGTATGCTTCTGATTGTACTTACTAAAAAGTGTGGTTTCCCCCCCCTTTTTTTTTTCTTTGCCCTCAAAGTGGAAATTATACTCGTGTTCAGACCTGTATTATCTTTTTTTTTTTGTGAATTTTTGATTCTGTCTTTCTTTTTCATGCCAAGACATATTAATGTTGATGCGGAGAACCCTTTTTTTTGATGAAGGAAAATGAAAAGAACTCATTGAGCTCTCACTGATTTGCGTGGCCTCGTCATAATGGCTTCTCAAGATTATTATTTTTCGGCGGCCTTGTTTTTGTTCTTGTCTCCGTCTATCTTTGGTACTCTTGCTGCTGAATAGCACAGGAGTATTCTCGGCTTCAAATTATTTAATTGGGCTGGGAAGTTATGATATCACCGGACCTGCGGCTGATGTTAACATGATGGGGTATGCTAATACTGAACAAATAGCATCTGGCGTGCACTTCAGGCTCCGAGCTCGCACGTTTATTGTGGCAGAGCCACAGGGGAAGCGGGTTGTGTTTGTAAACCTTGATGCTTGTATGGCCTCTCAGCTTGTGACAATTAAAGTGCTTGAGAGATTGAAGACAAGGTAGTTTTCATCTCTATACTCTGCATCTTTGGCTTTGTTAGACATTTTAGCCGTAGACTAATTGTTAAGAAAGATAAATGGCTTTTAGATTTGAAATTCATAAAAGCATAATTTATTTAGATCCCAAATTTTTTCCTTAAAGGTGTGGCTATGCTTGGATATTTTGAAATATTCCCAAAGCCATTGTCGTAAAATGACATTATGTTGTTAAATTGGCAGGTATGGTGATCTATATACTGAAAATAATGTTGCTATCAGTGGTATTCATACCCATGCTGGTCCTGGGGGTTATCTCCAATATGTTGTCTATCTTGTGACATCTCTTGGATTTGTTCGACAGTCTTTTGATGTTCTTGTAGATGGCATTGAGAAAAGTATTATTCAAGCTCATGAAAATCTCCAGCCTGGATCAATTTTTGTTAATAAGGGTAAGCCGATGATTCATTCCCCTTGGTAGAATCTTCCGATTTTTAACATTGCATTCACAAACATATGTTCATTTATTCAGAAGAATTAACCAGGAATTCATCCTCTTTTTCCAGGGTTTTATTATTTGTGTTTGTGGAATACTTAGCTGGAGTGATTGACTATAAATTTCTTGCTGTTAGATGACTGCTCTGAATCAAAAAATTTCTCTCCCTATCTCTGTCTCTATCTGTCTGTCTGTCTCTCTATTTCTCTCTTCATTTGTAAATTTCACTTATCATGTTAACAAATTTGATTCCTAAACATTTCAAAAAGTTATGTTCTTTCTTTAATTTTTATTTCTCTTGTTCATCCTTTGTTTAAGTTTCTCTTCGGAATTACATAAGTGGTACATGTCCCCTAAAAAGGGTTTTGATTTTATCTTACAGGAGAGCTCCTAGATGCTGGTGTAAACCGAAGTCCCAGTGCCTATCTTAATAATCCAGCTGAAGAACGCAGTCAATACAAGTATGATGTTGATAAAGAAATGACACTTTTGAAGTTTGTGGATGATCAGTGGGGTCCAGTGGGTAGCTTCAATTGGTTTGCAACTCATGGCACTTCTATGAGTCGTACAAATGCTTTGATAAGTGGTGACAATAAGGGGGCTGCAGCGCGATTTACGGAAGATTGGTTTGAGCAGAATGGTAGTGGTCCTAGTGGAAGTTCAGATTCCAAGAGAATTGGAATAGATGGAATACCTAGAAGAATCTCAAACATAGTCACCAATTTTCATGATACTCGTAAGTTGTACCTTTTAAAACTTTTGTCATATTGCATTATGCACAAAAGAGTGCTCAAAAGTTAAATTAGGAGCATGACATAAAAAAAGTCTGGTTCAGTATCAGCTAGAGAATTTTTCTGATGCAGAAGCAAACTCTAAAACCTGTGTGGATTTTATCCTACAAACATCGTGGAGCAACTTGTAAATGTTTCTTCAGTTCTGGAATGGTGCTTAATGAACTTTTTTATCCATTATTTTACATCTTATTGATAGCCAAACTTGTTATCTGGCTTTCATTTTTTGCCATTGGTCTTCTTTATTTTCTTAAATTGCACTATCTCACATAATTTGGGAGATTGTTTGGTTCATGCGCATGTAAGCGAGATGGTTTCCTTGATAGGATTTTTGGGTCTCGCAAGTGATGTCTTCCTATAGTTTCAAGTAATAGTTTATATTTAGACTAACCGGTTGGAGGCAAGGACAGACTTTGAAAAAGTGTAGCTTTTGAAACTTCCTGGTATTGGATATGCAACTCTGGCCTGACTGGAAGTTTCTTGTTGTACCAACTGTCAAATTGCATAAATTAACCTTCTGAAGGATGTGTAGATCTATTGCATCAATGGTGCAAGTCTTTCATTTTATCAGGCTGATAAAGAAGAGGAATAACTCCTTATTTCTTCATGCAGATCATGAGTTGCTAGAGCGTGCTGCATCCTTTCATTCTCAACCTGATAGACCTGCAACCAGAATTTTGAATGTTGAGAGACGGATCAGAAGTGCTCTTAGAAATGCCGAGAAGCCTGGATTTGTATCTGCTTTTTGCCAGACAAACTGTGGTGATGTTAGCCCAAATGTGCTAGAGCATTCTGTATAGACACTGGGCTTCCTTGTGATTTCAATCACAGTACATGTGGTGGGAGATGACTATGCTATGGCCGTGGGCCGGGGTATTTTTC